CTAATCTAAATGGATACTCCCCCTTTTTGTTCCCAAATAAAAATGTTTTTTATATAATACATATATATATATATATATATATATATGGGGTAGTTGGTATTGAACTCAGGGACATTTTATCACTAAGTTACAACATCCCCAGTCCTTTTTATTTTGAGATAGGGTCTTGCTAAAAATTGGTGAGGCTGGCCTTGAACTTGCAATCCTCCTCCAATAGCCTCCTGAGTCACTGGAATTAAAAGATGCGCCACCATAAAAGTTTATTTTGGAGCTATAAAATTTTATTTTAGAAAACAAATCACCATGGCAGTAACCAAAAGGTTAAGGTGGGTGGAGAGAGGCTCATATTTGTGGTCAACCCAGAACCACATAAGAGATAACTAATATTACTGAAATTATCTGACAGCAACTGTGATTGTCTAGATAACTATTTTCACATCTATAAACAAACCAAATAGGGTTTCAAAGTTTGTTTGATTGAATGATTTTTGTAAAGAAAAAGAAAGAATAAAAATCAGTTGTTAAAGAATTCTACAATTACTAAAAGAACAAGATTTGGAACTTTCACTTGAATGCATCTCTGTTATAAAAACTTTGGGGAGGGGGGAATCTCATGATTAATCAATGCCTATCTGTTTTTTTAAACCCAGAAAATTTCTTTACACTCCCTCCTGGGTATAGCTAGGCAGAACTGTAGGTGTACTATTCTATTTATTCCTATACCAGTAACACACTGTGCTAACAACACTATGTATGTTTAAAGGTACATTTTGGTAAAATATTCCAAATTCTAAATTCATTAGCTCAGAGCTAACTTTAAAAATAATTTACTAAACAAGATGCTGGCATTCTCTCCATTCAAATTTTGGTGATGCAGCCACTATAGATAACAGTATGGCAGTTCCTAAAAAACTAAAATTAGAATTATCATGTGATTCAGCAATTTTACTTCTGGGTATATACCCAAAAGAACTGAAAGCAGGAATTCAAACAAATGTCTATACATCAGTGTTCACAGCAGCATTATTCATAATAGCCAGAAGGTGAGAATCTATGTCCATTAAAAATGTATGAATAAACAAAATGTGAAATATACAAACAATGGAACATTATTTAGTTATAAAAGGGAATAAAATTCTGACACATAACACAAAATTGATAAACCTTGAATATATTATAAGTGAAATAAGCCAGTCACAAAAGGATAAAGAGTATATGATTCCATTTATATAAGCTATCTAGAACAGTCAAATTCATGAAGAGGGAATAGAATAGTAGTTGCCAGGGGCCAGAGACAGGGAGGAATGGATACATAATTACAGTTTTATAGGATGAAAAGAGTTCTGAAGATGGTTGGTGGTCATGGTTACACTGCAATGTGAATGTACTTAATCCCATTTAAGACTTAAAGGAGCCTAATATGGCAAATTTTAGTACATATTTTACCACAATTAATTTTATTTATGGTTGAGACTGTAGTTCAGTGGTAAAGTGCCTGCCTAGCATGTACAAGGCCCTAAACTTGATCCCCAGCACTACAAAAAATAAAATATTTATACTTAACTGGGATAATTTTCAGGAGGGGGCTGTTTGACTTGTACTAAGTTCCCCCACCTATACTATCCCATTAAGTATGAGCTATAATCTTCCATCCACCTCTTATCACCACTTCTCCACTGATTTCAATAGAAGTCTTTTCTCTAGTGAGTTGAAATAGTCAAAAATAATACAAAATTCCTTCTCAAAAGATTTTACAGTTGTGGCACACCTGCAATCCCAGTGACTCAGGAGGCTAAAACAGGAGGACCACAAGTTCCAGGCCAGCTTCAGTCATTTAGCCAGGCCCTAAGCAACTTAGTAAGATCGTGTCTAAAACTAAAAAATAAAAAGGGCTGGGGATATAGCTCAAGTGATAGAGCTCCCCTATTTTTAATCCCTACTACTACTGTTAAAAAAGAAAAAAAAGCTTTTCAATACTTAAACAATTTTATTTATTAGAACCTATTGTCCAGCAATAATCAAAATTGAATTTTAAATCTAATCAAATTTTTGAATTATGTCTTTTCTACAAAGACACTGAACTCTCAAGTTATTACAAATTCTCAAATCATAAATAAACAAAATATGAATTTGATATATTTTTGTGTAGGGAAAATAATCTGTCCAGTTATACAAGAAACTGATGTCATCCAATAATCTATATCCACTCTTGAGGGATTGTCTGAAGGTTCTAGAAAGGGAATGCTGCTATTCGTATACCCTTGGCCATACCTTTGACCCAAGTAGGGTCCTATTCTATATTCTCCTCTATAGGGGAAGGTTGTCCTCTTCAGCAGCTTCGGGACACACAAGGAGTGGTGAGGAAGGATGGGGACATCCACCTAGCCAGCCAGATCAGCTGAATCAACCCTGATGATCAATAGGGTGACAGATGTTGCAGCCAGATCACCTTCACATCCTACACCCAAGTCTTTAAGCATAATCTTTAAAATAAATTACCTGGTTTTCATATAACTGGATAAATGCTTTTTTTAATATTTATTTTTTAGTTTTAGGTGGACACAATATCTTTATTTTGTTTTTATGTGGTGCTGAGAATTGAACCCATTGCTTCACACATGCTAGGTGAGCGTGCTACCACTTGAGCCACATCCCCAGCCCCATAAATGCTTATTTTTAAAAGTCAGTCCTGAAAAAACATACTATATAAAAAATAGGAAGTATAATCAATTTTAAAGTAAGACTACAAAAGCAAACTTATCTGGCATCTTGATTTCTAAGAGGATTACAGGTTCCTAAATATACAAAAGGTTAATGTGTTTAACAATAGCTTTTTATTCTATCAATAATATCTTCTTAGCTATTTGACAATATAACATTCCCATTTGGTAAACAACCATTCACAGCACATGCGGTTAAGTTTTTTTTGTTTTTTCATTAATAAATAATAATGCACAGCATTTTCCTTGGCCAATAGGACCATTCCAGTAAAGAAAATCTTCTTCAAATTTATTGAGATCAAAATAATCATGACCAAAACTCCAGATACTTGTCAGAAAAATATTAACTTTGCCTCTTAGAGTAAGAACTTGGGCTGGGGATATAACTCAGTGGTAAAGCTCTTACCCAGCATGCTTAAGGCCCTGGATTCAAATTTTCACACCACAAAAAAGCGGGAGGGGGGAGGGATGCAAGCTTGAAATTTCAGCACAAAGGAGGCTGAAGCAGGAGGATCTCAAATTCAAGGCCAGCTTCGGTAACTTAGGGAAGTGGTAAGCACCTAGCAAGAACCTGTCTCAAAATAAAAAATAAGAGGCTAGAGACATGGTTCAGTGATTAAGCACCCCTGGATTCAATAACTGGTACCTCCCTCCTCCCCCCCCAAAAAAAAAAAAAAAACTAAACTAAATTTCCAGTTTTTTAGTCAACATAAGATTAAACAGTAAGCAAAATAATTCTCACAAATAATAAAATTGAAAGCAGCAACAAATTATTAGAGGTAAAAAGTTTGGTGAAATCAAAATAAAGTTATAAAAGCCTTAGGGCTTTTAACAAAGTAAACTGCTCTTTTTGTTGACCAAAGACTTTCCCATCAGAACACAACAGTTTTATAACAGGATAAAACTATACCCAGAAATATAGAGTTCTTTTTCACACAATGCATACCACAATAAAGACTGAACTGAAGGATTTAAAACAAAAAAGCAAAACCAAAAAAATGATGAAAGATTTAGGCAAGCAAAAGACCTCAGGCCATTCCTAAACCTACAAAACAACAAAATCTTGTAGTCGACTTATTTTAAGATTCTTCCTTTCCCTAGTCTTGTGAGTATAATATAAAGAAAATGTAGCTACTTGAACATTCCCGGCACATCACATACCACAGAGTAACCAAAAGAACAAACTCTGGAAATGATCAAAATGGTCACCAGAACATGAAGTTGTAAAAATAAAGAATAATAAGAGGGTCGGGAATGGAGAAGAAGCCCAAGAAAAGCTCAGTGAGGAAAATGATGCCTACAATGCTAGTGTTGGATCACAGCAACAAAAGTCTGACTATACTTGACAATACCTTCCAAGTTAATGTCAAAATGGATAAAAACACTAAAATATTTTCTTCACTAAACAGCAAAAGACAAAGTTAACATTCAAAGAGTATCACTTCTAACTCCAATTATCTCCTGATGCATACAGCTCTAATTTGAAAGGGCCTCCCTAAGATACTTACGTGCCAGTGTCACTATTGCGGGGGAATAACCTTTACTTATCTTTTAAGTTATTCCTGGAGACAGTACACCAACCAAGCATTTAAATCTGTAGGGGAGGGGGAGCCGCAACATATGAATTGGTTATTAAGCACTTGAAATCACTGTAGAGAATACAATGGAATACAGACTACAGTCTCTTCCTTATCTTCTTACCCTCCCAAGATTCCAGTAAGGCACTCAAAGTCTCAAACGTTTATTTCTCTTTGAAAAGGACTAGAATGCCCAGCTACTCTCACCACCACCTCCTCATCATTCTGTTTTATTCTTCCCTTAATACAATACACCACACCCATAACACACACTACACACACACACACACACACACACACACACACACACATTCCAAACATCCCAAGCTCCTCATGGAACAACCCAAACACCTCATACTTAATGGCCCCTCACTTAATACCCCCAAATTTTACACATTCCTTATGTGATAAACACTCCACACATAGTAACCCAAAATTCATAACCTCCAACCTAAAAATCTCATTCAATCCGTACTTAATACATTCTACACACACCCACAGTAGCAAATGAATTATGCTTCCCCACGGCTTACGATTCACAAAACACACACACACACACACACACACACACACCACGTCTCGTATAAAAGCCTCAACTACACACCACTGCAGTACTCAACCAAACGCTGGGAAGAGGCCACCCTTCAGATACCCGGAATTCACGAGGCTGGAAGAGGGAGGAGAATCAGGCCAAATACCTCACCTGAAAATCCGCCAGGATCATCTCCCGGTCCATGTTGGACGCCATGGCGGCCGCAGAGTACCGCGGCTCCGGGAGCGAAGCGCGCACCTGGGAGG